TCTACATTATTTTGTTCTTACTTCCTGTAGGCCTTATATGTTCTCTAACTCCATCACAAACAGCCAGCCCCATTAACACCACATAACTGCCCAGTCCCTAGCTTAAAAAAGCAGCACTCCTTTATCCTCCAAACTAACTCTTTTCCTTATCTTTTAATTTTTTGGCTTTATTTATTTTTGTATGTCTGAGTGTTTTGCCTGCATGTACGTAAGTGCACCTGTGTGTGTGATGCCTTACAGATCAGCAGAGTGTTGGCTCCCCTCCCTGGAACTGGAGTTACAGACGGTTGTTGGCCATCACATGGCTGCTGGAAACCAAACCTGGGTCCTCTGCAAGAGCAGCCAGTGCTCTAAACCACTGAGCCATCTCTCTAGCCCTGAATTCTTTTTATGTAGCATAAATATGTGCCATTTTAGGGTGATATTTGTCCCAAATGCAAACATGTATGCATGCACATACACACAAGAAGTCAAATTTGTATGAGGGCAGACTTTTATTACTATTTTTAAGTTATTATTTTTTACTACTGTTTGCTCATTTCAGTATCCTCAACACCTAGAAAAGGGCCTGACATAGAGCAGGTACTTGCCAAATACTTGTAAGAATGACAAAAAGAGGGTATGATGGCCTTAGCAGATATTTAGTTGAAATGGTTTACAATATGCCATGTTTATAGAAATATAATCTACTGCAGGAAATCTACTCACTATTATAATGCTTGTAAATTAAACAGTGACCATATAGACGTTTAGTTTCTTAGCAATTTCTCTTGAAAAAGCTTGCCTTTAGGTTAGCTATTTGGAACAGAGGTCGTAGTGACCAACAAGAATAAAATGGAATATTAACTGTTTTTCTCCTCTTTCTATTTCTCAGGAACTCTTCCTCTCTACCTATAAGTCCCTACTGTAAACTACAGCAAGACACCAAAACTAAGAATGTCATACAGGGCTGCTGAGATGTTTGGCACCAATTAGAAGGGAGCCCGGGCCAAGAAGTTAAGGGAAAAGAAATTTGAAAAACTTTAAGCTCCTTGCATTTTAAAATGAAGTCAATACAAAATAACACTGACAACTTCCCTATTTTCTTCTGAAACATAATACTGAAAGACACAGTGATACACTGTTTTGAAGGTAAGCACTTAAAACTTCATTTTACTATAAAGCATTTCGAGCAATAAAACAAAGTTCAGGGGGAAAGAAGTGATCCCACACCCACTGTATACCTGTGACATCTTAATCTCTTAACCAAATATGTTTCAGATACATTGGAAAGACAGGTGTTGAAAATCCACTTGAAAAGTCACGGGTTCCTTTCGGATCCTTTATCCCTTTAATTCTTACTTGGTGTTTATCATTTCCAGGCTTTCTTTTTGTGCAGTGCTGGGACTGAATCCAGGGTCTGATAAATGCAGGTAAAAGTTCTACCACTGAGCTGAGTATCCCTAGGCCATGCATGTTTTTATAATTTTGGGTTTTTTTTCACTTTACATTTTTATGTGTATGTATATTGTGCCTGCATGTAAGTTCATGTAACTGCATGTACATACAATGCCTGTGGAGGTCAGAAGAGGGTGCTGGATCCCCTGAAACTTGAGCTATGGATGGCTGTTAGCTGCCATGTAGGTGCTGGGAAACCAGGGCCTGTGAAAGAGCAGCCAGTGTTCTTAACCACTGAGCAATTTCTCCAGTCCTATTTTTATGCTTTGGACACATCATGAATTCTGGCAAATAAATGGTATAGTTTTGCATGTTTTGAAATTATATAAATGGTATATCTGCCTATTACTTGCCTTAAGAAAATTACTCTGTGCTCCGGTTTCCTCTGAAAAATGGGGACTACTTACTAGTACCTACCACTATTAAGCACTACTTACTATATAGGATTGTTTTGAGAATTAAATGACAATATACTCACAGAAAGCTTTTTAAAATTACATTTAGTTGTGTATGTACGTATGTATGTGATGTGTTTGTGTGTTCGTGTGTCTATGCATGCACACACTGCATAGCATGGGTGTTGAGATCAGTGAACAACCTGTGAGAGTCAGTCCTCTTCTTCCACTATCAAACTCAGGTCATCAGGCTTGGTAGCAGACAACTTTGTACACTGAACCACTTCACTGACTCCAGAAGCATTTTAAAAAGAATCTTGCTGGGCTGGGAACGTAGTTAGTGAGTGTGGGACCCTGAGTTTACTACTCAGCAACACAACACAAACGAGAAGGGAAAGTATCTTGCTCATAGAAAGCAGTGCGTATTAGTGTTAGCAATTATCATACAAAGCTGCAAAAGGACTTGTGACTTTAGGAAAAACATTATCAAAATGACACGTAAAATTATATAACTGCAAATATTTTCAAAGTTATACTGAAACAAAACACACAAGTCTCTCTAGCCTATATGAGAAATTGAAATCAGTTAGAGAAAAAAGCCTTTATTAATTTGCAAATTGTTGGAAGCACCTGTAATGCCAGTACTTGAGACATAGAGGCAGATCAGCCTCAGCTACATATTGTTTGAGGCTACACTGGACTACATGAAATCCTGCCTCAAAAAAACAAAAGCAAATTGCTGGTAACACTAAATAAGAATATAAGTACCCAAATAATTCTTGATGATTCTTAATATCTAAATACACTCCTATAATGAGACAAGGGTAAGGTTGGGGAGCAAAGGGTAATTTCTCGATGAGATGCTATTCAAAGAATTCTTTGCCTGTTGAGGAAGGCTTTTTAAAGACCAGAAAAAAATAAAACATGACTTGTTACTCAAATTTTACTGCTTTTCTTATCTAGTTTTTTTTATTAAATGTAAGGAGAACAAATTAAAAAATGTTTTATAGGCCGGGTGTGGTGGCGCACACCTTTAATCCCAGCACTCAGGAGGCAGAGACACGAAGATCTCTGTGAGTTTGAGGCCAGCCTGGTCTACATGGTGTTCCAGGACAGCTGGGGCTACAGGGAGACCTGTCTCAAAAAAAAAAATCCAAAACAGTTCAGGAAGTAAATC